GAAGGTTTTCGGCATACGCGCGCGACGACGCGCGCGCCTGCATGTCGTCAACTGTTTTGCAGAGGATTCTCGCGACGGCACACGCGCAAGGGCATTCGACAGATTTCGACATGCGCGCGCGCGACGCCCGTTTAATAGCAGTTTGTGAAAATCTTGAAAAACCTATGGTTTCTTTAGATTTCGCAGGAGCTCGCGCGGAAGCTTTTTAAGCAAATCAGTGTTGCGAAACCATGTGTTTTGGTATGTTTTTGGGAAAACTCGATTGCGAAATCTTTCCGGCACCGAAGGTTTTTGAAGGATTTCGGCATGCGCGCGCGACGACGCGCGCGTGTGCACTCCGTCCCGTTTTTTTGCAAGGGATTCGCGACAAAGTGCTATGTTAGAACAAAAAATGTCACCGCATAGTGTTTTTTTTACCAGGGACCTCAGGGAGGGGGATACCGGTTGGCCTGGGACATTGTGATTTCATATTTCGGATGGACATGTGAACAGAATCATATATGATCTACATACCCGAAAGGGGGAGTGATAACGCCGGGGGGGGGGTAGATCCTCTTGGTGTTCGCTGGTGCATTTCTGCGGCCGCGCCAGCCCGCGCATGAAACTTGTGTGCGGCGGCCAGCTAGGCGCGACCGACGCGGCCGCGGTGGCGCTGACCGCTGGGCACATCCCAGCGGGCACTTCAGTGCGAGTCGGCGACTTGGGCGGGCGCGGTATCATGGCAACGTCGACAACAGTAGACATGACGGTGATCGTAGCGTTGCTGGCGACGATGTTTACACAGACGACGGCACGGCCAGTGACTGCGCCGATGCTGATCACGCCGACGACGATAACGGCGTCCTCGCGTCGGTGATGAAAGTTTTGGATGGAGTTCGACATGCGCGCGCGGCCGACGCGCGAGTGGCCCGCATGGTGTTATTTGACACGGACCGTTCCCCCCAGCACGCGCGCACGGGCGATCAAATGATTTCTGCATGCCGCGCGGCGCGAGAGGCCCGTGTGGCAGAATTCAATGAACGTGTTGAGACACCTCTCGTTTTTTTTGTTTCGCCAGAGCGCGAGCGCAAGCTTCTTTGAAAACTGTTGTTGCGAAACCAAATGTGCTTATACGGCTTCGTGACACTCGGTTTTGAAATCCTCGCAAAACCTAGGGTTGTTGACGGATTTCGGCATACGCGCGCGACGATGCGCGCGCATTTCGTCCCGTTTTGTTGCAAAGGATTCGCGCGAGAGCACGCGCGCGAAGTCCGTTGGGTAGCATGTTGTGAAAATGCAGGAACAACCTATCATATTCTTAAATATTCGCAAGAACGGGCGCATTTTTGTTTGACAATCCGTGTTGCGAAACCATGTGTTTTATATGTATTTTGGAATCTCGATTGTGAAGTCCTTACGAAACCGGGCGCGCGACGGCGCGCGCGTGTGCACTTCGATTTATGGTTTTGCAAGGCATTCTTGACAACTGATGGCTTCTGATAAACGAATGCGCGCGCGTAAAATTATTGTAAGAAGATGACGGGGGGTGTGGATACCGGCCTGGCTGGGATGATATGAGTTCATGTTTCGGATGGACGATGGGGCTGAATCAAATGGAACTGCAATACGAAAATGAGTAACGATAGTCCTGGGAGGGGGGTAGAATCTATTTATTCTTAATTCGCCGGCCCAACGGGCCAGGGCGTGCTAAGATCTCCGGTACCTGGTTAACAGTATTTCTAGTTCGCGCGCGCGGGGCGGCCCCTGGGAGTCCCCGGACGAAAAGTACCCCGGCAAGGCCCCGGCAAGTCCCCGGCAAGGTCGGGTCAGAGATGCCGGAGTTCTGTTTCGGAGTCCAAGAGGGCTCCAGATCGGTCCAAGAGGGCCCCGAGAAGCTTTCTAGACGGTCCAAGAGAGGCCCGAGACGGCCAAAGATCGCCCGAAGACGCCCCAGATGGCCCCAAGACAGCCCAAGAGGCCTCCAAGACGCTCCAAGGGCCTTCCAAGAGGCCTCCGAAGAGGGCCCCAAGTTGCCAAAATCGTTGATTTTCATTAGTTTTTTCTATGTTTTTTTGCGTTCTGGCCTTTTCGCTTCCGGACGCTCCAAGAGGGCCCAAGAGGCCTTCAAGACTGCTCCAAGACGGCCCACGAGGCTCCCAAGACGGCCCCGGAGCGGCCCAAGAGCGCCCCCCAGACGGCCCAAGTGCTGCCCAAGGCGGACCAAGAGGCCCCAAGACGGGCCCAAGAGGGGCTCAAGAAGGGAACCGAGAACTGAAAAATCGAGCCCTCCGCCCCAGAAGGCGCCCAGGACCCCGAAAGAGGCCCCAAGAGACTCTCCTAGACACCCCCAAGACGCCCCAATAAGCTCCCGTGAGGCCCCAAGAGTACCAACAACGTCAGGCCCCAGGCCCCAAGAGGACCAACAAATACCGCCAAGAGCCCGCCGAAAGCCCCCCAAGAGACCGTCACGAGAGCTCAGGAGGCCCCCTGGAGGCCTCCCGAGTTCTCCAAGAGGCCTAAAAAGAGGCGCCAAGAGGCCCCAAACGGCCCCACCGAGACTCCAAGAGGCCACGAACGCGCAAGCAAACGCCTGCGATGGCACAATACGGGCCGGCGGAATGAGCGAAGCGATTAAATAAAATGAAGATATGTGTCGTGCAGTCTAGGGCGGCGGTTGGCGGTGACGGGGCGGCGACGGCGGCCACATAGCCTCCAGACCGACAGACAGGCCCAGACGACGGGCGGCGACGAGGCGGCGACGGGGCGGCAACGGCGGCCACATAGCCGCCAGAGCGACAGACAGGCCCAGTTCCTTCGAAAAGAAATAATGACTCCCGAATGCAAGCGCTGTTCTGGGAATCGTGATAACACGAAAAACATGATCGACCCACGAACCTGGAAAGGAATATAGAACTGTAACACATGGCAGCGTTTTCAAAGACACCTGATTGGGTGACGGGCAAATGCAATGCTGAGTGTATCGATCTTGATGTACCCTGCCAAGGGCTGTGCTGTGCTGCGCCGTGCTGAATTGCGATGTGCCATGGCGCGACTGCGCTCTATAGCGTCGTGGATCGAGTCCTCCTTTGCATCCGAGTCCTGACCGAACTGATCTGGATCTTAAGCTCGAGCTGCCTGAACACATAGTAGCTGCCCCAGAGCTAATGGACAGGGGAACATGCCAGGAGGACGCGCCGCGAAACGTCCCAAGGGATGCGCCAGGCGACGTGCCAGGGGACGCGCCATGGGGTCGCACCGTAGGACGTGCCAAAGGGACGCGCTACGGAACGTGCCAATGGATGTGCCACGGAATGTGCCAGGGGACGCGCCACGCGACGTGCCAGGGGGACTCGCCAAGGGACGCCCCACGGAACGTGCCAAGGAACGTGCCAAGTTGCAATGCTGAGTGTATCGATCTTGATGTACCCTGCCGAGGGCTGTGCTGTGCTGCACCGTGCTGAATTGCGATGTGCCATGCCGCGATGTGCTCTATAGCGTCGTGGATCGAGTCCTCCTTTGCATCCGAGTCCTGACCGAACTGATCTGGATCTTAAGCTCGAGCTGCCTGAACACATAGTAGCTGCCCCAGAGCTGATGGACAGGGGAACATGCCAGGAGGACGCGCCGCGGAACGTCCCAAGGGATGCGCCAGGCGACGTGCCAGGGGACGTGCCATGGGGTCGCACCGCGGGACGTGCCAAGGGGACGCGCTACGGAACGTGCCAATGGATGTGCCACGGGATGTGCCAGGGGACGCGCGACGCGACGTGCCAGGGGGACTCGCCAAAGGACGCCCCACGGAACGTGCCAAGGAACGTGCCAAGTTGCAATGCTGAGTGCATCGACCTTGATGTACCGTGCCGAAATCAGTGCTGTGCTGCGCCGTGCTGAATTGCGATGTGCCATGGCGCGATTGTGCTCTATAGCCTCGTGGATCGAGTCCTCCTTTGCATCCGAGTCCTGACCGAACTGATCTGGATCTTAAGCTCGAGCTGCCTGAACACATAGTAGCTGCCCCAGAGCTAATGGACAGGGGAACATGCCAGGAGGACGCGCCGCGAAACGTCCCAAGGGATGCGCCAAGCGACGTGCCAAGGGACGTGCCATGGGGACGCATCGCGGGACCTGCCAAGGGGACGCGCTACGGAACGTGCTGGGGACAAGCGTTTCGCTCGAGACATCCTGTCAAAATCATCTGAATTCCTACGCGCGGGACGCTGCACGCGCGAGACATCCTCGGAATTCCTGCGAGCGGGACGTGAAAACAAGCATTTCGCCTGAGACATCCTTTGAATTCTGGCCCCCCACGAGGCCACCGCTCGAGACATCCTCCAATTTTGCAAAACCAGCGTTTCGCTCGAGACATCCTCAACAAATTATGAAAAACAAGCGTTTCGCTCGAGACATCCTGTCAAAATCCCAAGAAATCCAAATACCCGCGCGCGGGACGCGGCACGCGCGAGACATCCTTGGAATTCCTGCGCGAGGGGCGCTTTTCCGTGTCGCGGTCGGCTCTGCAAAACCAGCGTGTCGCTCGAGACATCCTCAACAAATTCTGAAACCAAGCGTTTCGCTCGAGACATCCCCAACTCTGCAAAACCAGCGTCTCGCTCGAGACATCCTCAATCCTCATTTTTTTATTCGCCGGCCCTACGCGACCTCGTTATTTATCGCAAAAGAAATTCGCCGGCCCTACAGCCGTCAAAACCGGGGGGAACAAAACTAAAAGAGAACCCTGGGCCTATGCCCTTTCCGGGAACAATAATAACAAAACGACGACCAATAAGAATGACGAGAATCCACACCGCGAGCCCCGCTTCGGCCACGCACTCTGGGACAGCGTGAAACTAACTGTTCGGCCGGCGGCGGCGACGACGACGACGACGACGACGACGACGGCGACGACGACGACGACGACGACGACGACCACGACGGCGGCGGCGGCGGCGGCGACGACGGCGCGAGCGGCGACGGGCGGCGAAGGGCAGCCGAAGCGCGGCGGCCCGCCGCGCACGGGGCGCCTGCCGGCGCCGACGCACCCGCGCAGGTGCGCGGCGGCGTCCCAGTCCTGGCGGGCCGCGCCGCGGGCCCGCCGCGGCGCGGTCGCGAGCGGCGGCCGCCGTGGTCGTGGTCGTGGTCGTGGTCGTGGTCGTGGTCGTGGTCGTGGTCGTGGTCGTGGCCGTGGCCGTGGCCGTGGCCGTGGCCGTGGTCGTGGTCGTGGTCGTGGTCGTGGTCGTCGTCGTCGTCGTCGTCGTCGTCGTCGTCGTCGTCGTCGTCGTCGCCGTCGCCGTCGTGGGCGGCGGCCGCCGCGGAGCCTCGGCCGCCGCAGGCGCGCGGGCTGCGGCGTCGCGGCGCACTCCGCGGCGAGGAGGGGGCCAGGTCGGCCCGCACCCGGTGCAGACGGGAGGGTGGGGACGCAGGGGCACTTGGGGGCCTGAAGCGGGGAGCGGCGGGTGGTGCCAGCGAGGTCGGCAAAGGGTGGGCCCGCAAGAGGCAGGAGCACAGAGGGCAAGCTGGCCCCCCAGAGGAAGGCGCGCGTCCCTGCGGCAAAGGGCGAGCCGCAGAGGCAGGAGCACAAGGGCAACCTGATCCCCTAGAGGAAGGCGCGCGTCCCTGCCGGGCGCGTTGCCCGTGACGGGCTGCTTCCTCCTCGCGGAGCCGCGCCCCGGGCCTGGGCCACGCCTGCTTGTCCAGCTCCTTGCCATCGCTCGGACGTCCATTCCCCGTGCATGTTTCGGTTTCGTGCGCTCTGCAAGATGGTCCAGGATGCTCCCCGACGGCCCTCGCCGAGGAAAACTGCAAACGCCCGAGCGATGCCAAGGATGTGCATGCCTTTCCTGCCCTCTCCGCCCTCTTCCCCCCTCCTGCCTCTTAGGCTCCCGATCGCGGCGTCGGCCCCCCCCCCGCTCGCACTCGCTGGTTCAGCGCTCCCCCCTCTCGGTCCCCCCTCCTCCCTCCGTCCACCGGACACCAGCGAGCGCGCCGGTGCGCCGCCTACCGTGGCAGGAAATGGGCCGGTGCGCCGCCTACCGCCAGCGCCAGTGCCTCCGGCTGCGCCTCCTCCCCAACCTCGCCCTCCGTCCATGCAGCCAGGCATCGCCCTGCTTGGCCGTTGCCAGGGCCGCTGTGGAGGGCGGGGCCCCCCCCCCCGCCTGCGCGCGGGTCGGTCGGGCCGCAGCGCGTTGCTGGCCCACCTTGGGCAATCCAGCGCACGCTCCTGCAACGCGGTGGCCCTCGCCATCGCTCGGACGTCCATTCACCACGCCTTTCTCGGCCTCGTGCGTGCTCGCTTCCTGGATGCTCCAGGGATGCTCCTCGAGGGTCCTCGCCGAGAAGGAAGAAAAATGCACACGTCCGAGCGACGCCAAGGCCCCCTGCCGGGCCCTCCCTGCCTGCCTCCCCTATCCTTCTGCCTCCTGGTGCGCGCCATCGCCCTCTCCACCTGCGGCCCGCGTGCGCAGCGCCGGCTGCGCAGGACGGCACGCACGCGGTGCACTCGGCAAGGGCACCAGCCTGCACGCACCTGCAGGGCGGCGAACTCTGGACATGCCCACTGCTCCCTGGCCGGGACCATCCCGAAGCCAGCAGCGGTGTCTACGCCATGCCCTCCTGGCTTGGCCAGGAGGGCGTTTACAGAGCTCCTGGACAAGCCAGGAGGAGGATGATGATGATGATGATGATGATGCTGATGCTGATGCTGATGCTGATGCTGCTGATGATGATGATGATGATGATGATGATGATGATGATGATGATGATGACGAGGAGGAGGAGGAGGAGGAGGAGGAGGAGGAAGAGGAGGAGGAAGATGAGGTGGAGGAGGAATGGGACGACAGCAGTAGAAGGTGAGTCCAAGTCGCCCGAACCCGCTATACACTAAGGAGGAGGAGGAGGAGGAGGAGGAGGAGGAGGGGGAGGAGGAGAAGGGGGAGGAGGGGTAGGGGGTGAGGAGGGGGAGGCGGGAGGGGAGGGGGAGGAGGGGGGGAGGAGGAGGAGGAGGAGGAGGAGGAGGAGGAGGAGGAGGAGGAGGAGGAGGAGGAGGAGGAGGAGGAGGAGGAGGAGGAGGCGGAGGAAGAGGCGGAGGAGTGGACATGCCTAGATCCCGTCTCCCGAACCTGTGCAACGGTGAGGTGCACAGTACCACGGAACCTCGCGCCGCTCTTCTCTACGTGCTGCCACGGCAATTTCTCACCACGTGCCGTCACGAGAAGTCGCGCCGTGGAGCGGAGAGGGAGCCTGCGGAAGAGAAGGACGGAGAGAGCGTCCAGGCTGAGCACGGGCGGCTTTTTTTCAACAGGGGCCACAGAGCTGATACTTGCACGGCAGCTGGCAACATACACCTACATTATTGATGAGATCGCCGAGTCTATCTTCCGTACGACTCGGGCTTGTGAAACGAAGCGCGCGCGTGTGCAGCGAACTACGCAGCCAGTGGCAAGTAGAAGTGCGTGCTTCGGACACGATCGGAACCATGCTCACAACCAACACTGACTGGCTCGCATAAGAAATGTCGAATGGATTGCCACTGTTGCCATCTACACTGGCACGTGTCTACAGAATAGTAGCGCGCTCTGAATCGCGTAAGCGATTGCAGGACGAGCTGCATCCCCACTATGCTGGTCATCCCTAGCATTCATTATCATCTGTCATCCTATCCCTTATGCACGTTTATGATGTGTATGTACATTTCTGCTCACAAATAATTATACATACGTATGTATGTACTATGCTTGTGTATGCTCTCTCTCTCTCTCTCTCTATTTCTGTCTCTCGTCCCCCGTCTCTCTCTCTCTCTCTCTCTCTTTCGGTGACTCTCTGGTTTGCTGATCCTGCTCTTCTTTCTCTCTCTCTCTCTCTCTCTCTCGCTCCTTGTTACCTCTATCCCCCTCTCTTTGTGCATGTGTCTGTATTCCGCGGTGCCTCCCCATCTGTCGAAGACTCTATCTCTCTCTCACTCGCTCTCCCTCTCGCTGTCTTCTTTCTTAATTTCTCTCTCTTTCTCTCTCTCTCTCTCTCTCTCTCTCTCTCTCTCTCTCTCCTCTACTATCCATTACCTGCCCCGTACAGGTGTGCACTTCAAGTCAACTGTGCACATCTCAGAACCACGGGACCAGAGTCGCGTCCTGAAACTACAGCTCCGTGCCTTTTTGCCCAGAAGCAGGCCGCACCACGCCACATCCAGCCTTAAGTTGAATGCTTTCTACATCGCTCATATGGTAAAATGCCCTCAGTCTATATTTAAATGCGAGCGTCGACTGCAAGACAACTCGACCTATGGAGCCACAGACCCTGATGCTGGCATGTGCTGGAAGCCGTGAAACCAATTACAGCAGATCCGAGCACTGCAAATATTAAAACGCACAAGCTTGCCAGAAGGAGAACGAATGCCTAGGCGAAATTGATCCAATGAACAGGTCAACCTCCGTATTGGAGCAACCCACGTCATCAGCACGAATCTGTCATAAAGTGTTGCCAGGCACTGGTAATGCCATAATCCCCCACCTCCCACTTGCGGATACCATCAGCCAGGGCTTTGCCAACTGGACAGCTTAGTTCTGCCCAATCGAATGAAGCAAGTAACAACACTGTGACACTATGAGCAACCCAGCAGATAGGCAGCAATGACTGCTGCTAGGACTCACTCACCATGCCTCAGGACGACAGACTTGTTCGTGTCCTCCCATACCTACGTAACTCCAGGTCGTCTCTGACCTCCTCCTCCTCCTCCTCGTCCTCGTCCTCGTCCTCCTCCTCCTCCTCCTCCGCCATGACTCATCATGCTCCTAATGCCTACTTCCTGACCTCCGCATCCTCCCCTCATCCTCCTCCTCCTCCTACATCACCCTCCCAAACGATCATCCTAACTCGTCACTCCGCCAACTCCTCCCCCTTCTCTCCCTACCCATCCTCTCTTCCTCCTTCCTCCTTCTCCTCCTCCCCTCCTCTCCAGCATCAACCTCATACTATCCTCATCCTAATACTCCTCATCCCATCATCATCATCATCATCATCGCATCAGCATCATCATCTCATCATCATCATCATCATCATCATCTCACATCATCCAATCATCATCATCAATCAGCATCAGAATCAGCCGCATCTAGCATCTGCCATACAGCGTCAAGCTATCCGCATCGAATAATCATAACTATCATCATATCATTCATCATCATCATCGCATCATCATCCATCATCAGCATCAGCATCATCATAATCATCATCATCAATCATCATCATCATCAATCATCAATCATCATCATATCATCATCATCAGCAGCATCCGAATCAGCATCAGCATCAGCAGCAGCATCATCATCATCATCATCATCATCATCATATCCTCAGCATCAGCATCAGCATCAGCTCATCATCATCATCATCATCATCATCAATCATCATCATCATCATCACATCAGTTCACCATAATAATCAATAATCATAATAATCTTCTGGCTGTCCAGGAGTTCCTCCCCTCCTCCATCATCCCTCCTCCCTCCTCCCTCCTCCCTCTACTCCTACTCTCTCCTCCTCCTCCTCCTCTCCTCCTATCCTCCCTCCTCCTTCCTCTCATCCTCATCTCCTCCTCCCCCCCCCCGGAGAAGAGCAGCCGCTCCAGCCCAGGCCGCGGCGCGCGGCGCGCGATCCTCCTCGCGCCCCCCCCTGCGGGTGACTGCGGGGTCCCCATGCGTGCTGCCTCCGCTCGGACCCTCCACCACTCCTCTCCTGAGGAGGATGGGGGAGGAGGAGGAAGAGGAGGAGGAGGAGGAGAAAAAGGAGGAGGAGGAGAAAAAGGAGGAGGAGGAGGAGGAGGAAGGAGGAGAAGAAGGAGGAGGAGAGGAGGGAGGAGGGAGGAAGAGGACGGTAGGAGAACAAGGAGGAGGAGGAGGAGGGGAGAAGGAGGAGGAGGTGGAGGAGGGAGGGAGGAGGAGGAGGAAAGGAGGAGGAGGAGGAATGAGGAGGAGGAGGGAGGAGGAGGAGGAGGATGGAGGAGGAGGCGGAGTAGAGGAGGAGATGAGGAGGAGGAGGGCGGAGGAGGAGGAGGAGGAGGAGGAGAAGGAGAGACGT